AAGCTGGAGTGACGACGACAGACGGATCCGATGAAATTATTAAATATTAAAAAAATAAAATAAAAATATATTAAAAAACTCATCCATCAGCTCTTCATTCCTCTGGGCGTTGACATGTTTTTCTGCTGTTTTGTGTTGTGTTTGTATTTTGATATTACATTTTATTTGTGGAACTGTAAGATAAATAAGATATAGTGCACACTACTGAGGATCCCTTCAGATGCTCACTCGTTATTGGCACAGACTCCATCATATCCGCTCCGCAACGCAGTATGAAGCGTTTGTTTCCATACAGTCATCATAATCATACAACACGCGTCTGGCTTTACACCGAACTGGATTGGACTTCTGTAATCTGGTTTAAGCTGGTCAGGCTTATTACTCGTAACGTCAATCCCAGACTTTATTCTTACAGTAGCTGGATTTACTGTTAATCTCTTTTCACAGTATAAATATTAGTACACAATCCCATTTCAGTTAGTGTACACTCGCTACTACACACACACACACACACACACACACACACACAGACACACAAACACACTCGCTACTACACACTGTAAACACACACACTCGCTAGCGCACACTGTAAATACACACACACACTCGCTAGTACACACTGTAAACACACACACTCGCTAGCGCACACTGTAAATACACACACACACGCTAGTACACACTGTAAATACACACACACTCACTAGTGCACACTGTAAATACACACACACACACTCGCTAGTGCACACTGTAAACACACACACACACACACACACTCGCTAGTGCACACTGTAAACACACACACTCGCTAACACACGCTGTAAATACACACAAACTCGCTAATGCACACTGTAAATACACACACTCGGTAGTACACACTGTAAACACACACACACACACACTTGCTAGTATACACTGTAAACACACACACACACACTCGCTAGTACACACTGTAAACACCCACACACTCGCTAGTGCACACTGTAAATACACACACACTCGCTAGTACACACTGTAAATACACACACACTCGCTAGTACACACTGTAAATACACACACACTCGCTAGTGCACACTGTAAATATGCACACACTCGCTAGTACACACTGTAAACACACACACACACACACACACACACACACACACACTCACTAGTATACACTGTAAACACACACACACTCGCTAGTACACACTGTAAACACGCACACTCGCTAGTACACATTGTAAACACACATTCACTAGTACACACTGTAAATACACACACACTCGCTAATACACACTGTAAATACACACACACTCGCTAGTACACACTGTAAATACACACACACTCGCTAGTACACACTGTAAATACACACACACTCGCTAGTACACACTGTAAATATGCACACACTCGCTAGTACACACTGTAAACACA